TCCACCCTCACAGCCTCCCAGTGCTGGCTGCTCACTGCCAGGTCACCCCATGCTGGGGTCACCCCATTCTGGGGCAGAGTTGTCACAGGGTCAGACCAGGACAATGATGCTCAAAGACAGCACCAGCACAGGGCCACAGCCAAGTCACAGTGGGACACCTGTGACCCTGGGTGGGCAGTGTGGGACTGGCAGCAGTGCTGCTGCTCTAGAGAAGCTGCTGCTGGGTCCAGGTGGGCTCTGTCCCTGTGCAGCACAGGTAGGGATGGTGCAGGTCCCTCCTCTCTGTCCTGGTGGGCAGTGTGCTCACCTCCCAGCTGTTACCACCCCCATCCCACCCTGGCTGACACAGCACTACTCTCTGGCCCTACTGCAGGAGCCGCTGGGCTGCAAGATGATTGTTTTCATTCCTGGCATCCCAGTATTGGCCCTGGGCCCACTGTGAGCGCATCCCTGCCAGCCTGAGCGTGGCCAGGTCCCAGCAGTTCCTCAGCAGGCCCCCATCCTGGAGGGTGCAGGGAAAACTGCTGCCTTGATGACCTCCCTGCCACCCCAGGCCTCTGCCCATGTGTCACTCCCACTGCCCACAGTGGTGACACGAGGTGCGGCGGTGGGGCAGGCGGCTGAGCACCGGCTCCTGTTCCTGCATAAACACCCGGCAGGGAGGGGACCACAGGCAAAGGCAAACAGTTACTGATTTACTGCCACGCCATCCTGCCACATTGTTGACTGTGGGGTTAAATTACCTGGAGACGGACCCCGGCAGAGCAGCTGCCAGCTCGTGACTCAGGCAGGGCTCATGCCCTAGCCCCATGCACCCTTGGCCCTTGGGCAAGTTTGCAAGATGCCCGGAGCTGGGGCTGCCTCTGCCAGCAGCAAGGGCACATCACCAGGAACAGGGCAGGTTTCATCCTCCTGCAGGAGGCTGTGGAGGAGATGGGCACTGGCAGAGTGGGAAATGCTGATGTGAGCAGGGCAGCCATGCCAGATGGACAAGCTGGGCCCGTTCAAACCATCCCCAGCTTGACATTGCCAGGGGCAGTGAAGTGACCTGACCCGCCAGACGTGCCATGGGAAGGGTTTCCTGGACAGGCTGAAGGGACTGGGGTCACACTGCATGCCCTGAGCACTGTGAGTGCATGCCAATGACCCACTCCCTGATAGCCACTTGCACAAATGGTGCTGTCGGATGGTCCATCCGCATCCCCAGTGCTGTGGAACGCCGTGAGGATGGCAGGGTCCGTGGGACAGGGCTGCAGCCGGGCAGGAGCTCCCGTGGCTGCGGGGAGGTGCAGGGCAGCCCTGGGGCAGGTGCCTGCCCAAGGCACAGGCAGCCTGGAGGACCCTTGAGGAGCAAGAGCTGGAGAACAGGAGCAGGAGCTGGGTGAGCAGCAGCAGAGCTGAGCCACAGCCCTGTCTGCATTGCTGGTTCCTCGTGGCATCAGCGACCCAGGCCAGGGGCTCCATTCGAGCTCATGTCTGTGGCCAGGGCAGCGCAGGGCGAGTCTGAACAGGGACGGGTCATGCCCCATCCCCGGTGCCCTGGTGCCCGCCTCACTCCCTGCGAGCGGTCCCGCTTCATCCCCGCGGCCGATGGCCACCCCGGTGGGCTCCGAGTGCGGCCCTGGGGGTCCGGCGTGCGGGGCCGTGGCCGGGGCTGGCTGGCTGCTGTTCCTGCCGGGCGAGTTCTCAGCATGGCCGCCCAGTCTCCTCGAGGCTCCCCCTCCCTGGTCGGCAGCCAGCAGCAGCAGATACCTGATACTCGGGTTGTGCAAGCGCGAAGGGGGAGCCTGGCCCTGCCCGGCCCTTGGGAGCCACCCGGAAGGCCGAGCCCGCCGGCCCCACCTGGAGAGGAGCTTAAAGGCCGGCCGGGCGGCCAGAGCGCAGCCGGTTCCTGCACCATGCCCACGGCCCGCAGCGTCCTCATCTTGGCGGGGTTCCTGGCTCTCTGGGCAGAGCTGCCGGCAGCATCCGCCCAGAATGACACCAGTGAGTATGAGCGCATGGCCCAGCACGGCTCGTCACGGCACGCCCGGCGAGCGGCCAGCATCCCTCCCTCCCAGCCCCAGGGCAGCCGGCGTGGGGGCCGGGGCGAGCAGCAGCCTGTGCCCGGTGCGGTTGTGCTCGGCAGCATCCCTGGACCCAGCCCTGGGGCCGGGGCAGCATCTCGGAAAGGGACGCAGCCCTCGCCCTGCCCGGCGCCGGCCGCCCCGCGCCTGCCCACGGCCCCACCTTTGCCTTGCAGCGAAAGCCGGCGTGTGCCCGAGCCCGGCGATGGATGCGGTGAACTGCACAGTCGGGTGCCAGTCCGATGGCGACTGCGAGAGCACCCTCAAGTGCTGCCCGGCAGCCTGCGGCAAGGCCTGCCAGAAGCCTGACGGTAACACTCCCTCCTGCTCCTGGCCGTGCTGCCCAGAGTCGGTGCCACTGCCAAGAGCCAGCAGCCCGTCCCAGCCGGCAGTACTGGTGCTCCGGGGTGCAGCGGTGGCCGGGGCGCCCGATGTGTGTTCAGCTGCGGCACGGGGATTGGGGGCTGCATGGAAGCAGCCCAGCAGGCTCGGGGTGTGCTCAGGATGGGCCATGCTCACACCTTCCTCCTCTCAGTGATGCAGGGGCTAAGTGGACACCCCCAAATGATGCTGGGGCTTGGGTGGAGGGTGAGGTCTGCACCGCTCCCCACTGTTGCCTGCTCAGCCTTGTGGGCAGCTGCCAGCCCGGGATATGGGCACTGTTCTGTGTTGAGCACACACACTCCTTCTGGACAGCAACTCAAGGAGATGGGTGCAGGAGTTGGAATCCACAGCTGCAGACAGATGGATGTGACCTGGAGGCTCCAGTGCCTCCATGGCTGCCTGTGGGACAGCGCTGGCTTGTCTGTACCACAGTGGAGGGCAGCATGGTGCAGAGCCAGAGCTCAATGCCAGTGGCAGGCAGTGGGACAGCGGGGCAGGGGCCCCACACTGCCGGGCAAAGGCTGCTTGGGGGTACGTGATCCTGGCTGAGGCTTAGGCTGTGCCCCCATGCCATGAACGAACAGCCAGGATCATCCATGGCATTGCAGAGGACAGAAGGGCCATGGCCTCCATCATGTCTGCATGTTGCAGCTGTGCATCCTGTGCCAGCCACATGTCCTTGAGTACATGTACATGTACACTGGGTATAGGAATTGTTGGGGACCACTATGCCTTGTGGCCTCCCTGGCGTGTCCCCATCAGGTCCAGCTGGCAGGGAGTGCCACCAAGCAGAGCTATGGGATGGGGGAAATGCCGGGTTCCATGGTGGTCCCTCCTCCATGGCAGATAGGGGTCAGGGCCATGCTCCTTTGGGAGCTGCAGGGTGGGCCCTGCCCAGCATGCCAGGGCCAGCAGGTCTTAGCCATTTTCCTTTGCCTTTCAGAGAAGCCTGGCACCTGCCCACCCGTCAACCCGGGCATCCCCATGCTGGGCGTCTGCACCAACCAGTGCAAGACCGACGCCAACTGCTCCGGGATCCAGAAGTGTTGCAGGAACGGCTGTGGCAAGGTCTCCTGTGTGACACCCATCCACTGAGGTCAGTTGGGTGCATTCCAGCCCCAGGGATCCCACAGCACTGCATCATGGCACCTGTGCACCCATCCCGCTCACAGCCTCCGCTCCTTTGCAGGTGCAGCCGCCTCCTGCCAGCCCAGCCACGGGGAAGCTGCTGCCCGATGCCCATCCTGATGCCCTGGCCCTGCACCATCACCCCCCATCTTGGAGCCTCAGTTTTGTCCCTGGGGTTCTCTGCTTGGGGTGAGCCCCCTGCACTCTGCACCAATAAAGCAGCTTCTCCCTGTCACGCTGTGGCTGCCTCTCCATCCCACACCATGGCCACCTCTCTGTTCCATGCTGTGGCCACTTCTCCATCACGAGCCATGGCTGCCTTTCCATCCCGTGCCAGGGATGCCTGGAAGGGCTTCACACAAGCAGCAGCATCGACTGACTGTCATGCCTCCAAGGGTCCCCAGCCTGTGCCCTGTCTGAGGCTGTCTCATGGGTCCATGGCCCCAGCTGTCCTTGTACTCTGGCTTCTCCACCTTGGGAGGTGTTCAGAGCACATGTTCAGAGCAGAGCTGTTGAGGTGCAGCTGTGTCCATGTCCCATCAGAGCAGAGGTGCTCCCTGCTCCCTGCTCCGCAATGGCCAGGGGACAAACAGTCCCCTGCAGTGCGTGCCTGTACACGAGCATCACCCAAACTCCTCCTTACCTCTGCCCTCCCAGCCTGCCCATGGCACCTTGCCCACAGGAGAAGCCTGAAGGGGCTTTCAGCAGTGCAACTGACATGCCCCAGTCCCATGTCCCTGCCACATCCCTCCCCACCTGCTCAAAGCTGGGTTCCTGCTCCTATCCTGTTTTCCCCTGGCACTTCCTGCTCTCCACAGGTCTCCAGGGGCCCTCCTGTACCTGCCTGCTCTTGCTCCCAGCCCTTGGGATCAGAGCATGTCCCTCCTGCCTGAGAGGGGCTGGCACCCCCAGAGCCCCTGCCCGTAGCAGGGGACAGAGCAGAGCCATCCCTAGGACTGAGTGAGCCCCCCACCTTGCCCAGCACTGCCCACTGCCTGGTGCTGGTTCCCCCTCTCTCTGCAGTGCAGGTGCAGGCTGTGCCAGCACCACGGCTCCACAGCAGTTCTCTCTGCTCCATGTGTGCCAGGAGGGATCCAGTGGGCACTGAAGACTGGGATAGGACACTGCTCCTGTGTCCCATCCATGCTCGCAGTGGTGTGGCTCTGGGAGTGCTGCTCAGCCCTTGGCCCAGCTGCTCACAGGTCACCAGTGACCTGGAAAGGAGCTGTGGATGTGTCAGCCATGGGCCATGAGCCCAGCACTGCCCCGGGAGTCTCCCCCAAGCTGAATTGTTCATGCTCAGCACTCCCACAGTCCTGAAACTGTGCTGCCATGAGAAGGAGCAGCTTGGCTTGGCCAGCCCCCACTCCAGCAGGGTTTAAATCCCAGCCCATAGCCCAGAAGCACATTGATCGCAGCGCAATGCTGGGCCACCACACCCTTCTTCTGGTGCTGCTGGCACTGCTCACCCTGGCCCAGCAGCACAGTCCCAGGGACCAGGGCACTGCCCTCACCTTCACTGCGTCCCCACACCGGGCCCTGCAGGGACACTGGAGCCCCACTGCCCTGCCTGCCCCCCCCAAAGTGGGTGAGTGTCCGGCGGGGGCGAGCGGAGCCCCTTGGCGCCCCAGACTGTTCTGCCTCTCCGACCATGGCTGCCCTGGTGCTGAGAAGTGCTGCCAGATTGGGAAGGTCTGGACCTGCCTCCTGCCCGTGACAGGTACTGCTGCTCACCCCAAGGGATGCCAGCACGAGGATCAGGCAATGGGTGGGATGTGGGCTGGTGCCTGCGTTAGTGCCCCTGCAGCAAGCCCTGCTCCCTGGGACACGGCTGCATGGAGCATCTCCCTCTGCAGAGAGCCCGGGCTACTGCCCCCGTGCTGGCAGTGCCATTGGGCCAAGGTGTGGGACAAGATGTCACAACGACACCACATGCCACTCGGGGGAGAAGTGCTGCACCCGCGGCTGCTGCACCCGCTGCACGCTTGCTCAGCCAGGTGAGTTGTCCTGGAGATCCCCATGCCAGGCTGAGGATGCCCTGGGGCAGCCCCAGGGGTCTGCAGCCCCCACCACACTGTAGGGGAGTTGTGGGCAGTGGGGCCAGGCTGGCTGCATGCCAAACCCTGAGTCTTCCCTCCAGCCAAACCTGGGTTCTGCCCTCGGAAGCGTGCCCAGAGAGCTGCTGCCTGCCCCAACCACTGCACCGATGACCGGGACTGCCCTGGGGAGCACAAGTGCTGCTTCTCTGGCTGTGGGTTGGCCTGCACCCCTCCAGACACAGGTACAGCCCTGCTAGACTTCTCTGATCCCCACATCCAGCCCACACTGGCGCTAGCCCAGCTCCCTGCTGGCAGAGCCCAGCGTGTGCCTGGCCGTACTGCTGGACAAGCCACGGCGGCTGTGCCCGGCCAAGTGTGCAGCTGGTGGCATCCATCCAGGCCCCAGGGAGTGTGTGCTGCGGGCTGTGGCTCCCGGTGCCACACGCCTGCTCTGGCCACAGCCCCAGCTCTCAGGAGCCCCTTGCCAAGAGCTGGCCCTCAGGGTGCTGTGGGAAGGGATCCCCATGCCCAGCTCCTCCGTGATGGGTGGGAGATGGCTTCGAGTGCATGAAAGGCTGAACCCCCTCCTGACCCTCCCTCCTGCACCCCCCTCTGACTGTGCTGCTGCAACCAGAGCAAGGGCTGTCTTTCACCACTCCAGCTACCAGCTGGCATCCCATATTGGGCTGTGACTGGTCCCACTGGGTGAGACTGGTATGGGTGTGAGGCTGTGAGGTCATCATGGTGCTCTGGGAAGGAAGATGGAGGCACAGAACAGGGACAGGATGGAGATCGAGGCTACGCCAGGAGCAGGACTGGGGACAGAATCCCAGCACAGCTGCACCCCTCACTGTCACCAGGGAACCTCCGTGACACAGTGACGCCTGGCCTGTGCCCCATGGTGCTGCGGGGCTCCTTGGGGCCCTGCCTGGAGCTGTGTGACACCGACAGTGACTGCACTGGGGACAACAAGTGCTGCACCACCGGCTGTGGCCACATCTGCAAACCACCCATCAAGGGTAAACCATCAGCACCCTGTGGGGCCAAGACCCCTGTGCCCCCTCCCTACCTGTCACCTCTGGGGACTGACTGAGCTGCTGTCCAGTGGGGCAGGAGCTCAGTGAGGAGCTCACCCCTGCAGGCAGGGCAACTCCCCCACCCCAGAAGGGTGCCCTGAGCCCCTCACCCCTTTCTCTCTCCACATGTGCCAGCGTGGCCAGGTCTCTGTCCCCCTGCAGCAGAGGGTGATGGGGCAGCCAAGTGCCTCCTCCTGTGCTTGCAGGACAAGGACTGTCCCCTTGGCCAGAAGTGCTGCCTGCAGGGCTGCAGCCGGGTCTGCGTCCACCCACTGTGGGGTATGTCCCCTCCAGTCTGCTGCCTCCTGGGTCCAGCCTGGAGGGGACAGAGGGGGGTGGGAGCACCACAGGGTCCCTAGTCCCTCAGAGAAGGAACCCTGAGGCATCCTCACTGACCACCTCACATGCCTCTTCCAGGTACAGCATAGCCATGGCCAGGAAGGGCTGCACCAGGAGCTGCCATTTCAGAGTCATCTCCCACCCCACTGCTATTGTGGGCTGAGCAGAGATGCACCCCACACCTCTCCATGTGCTGGACCCTCTGAACTGGCAGGATGGCACCAGCACTGACTCTGATGCTTCTGGTCAGGGTTCCTGGCATCCCCAGCCATGCCATTAAGGGCTGCACACTGCCTGAATTACGCCATAGCCAAGATTACTGCATGAGGCAAAACCCTGCATCCTCAATGGCCCCAGCTGCTCCACAGCACTGAGACAGAATAAACCATCCCACAGCCACCTCTGCTCTGGATCAGTATCCCTGTTCTGTGCTCTGGTTCCCAAAGGCGCTGGCTGCGTGCAGGCAGGGAGGTGCAGGCAGACATCCATGCAGGCAGGTGCTGCCCCAGGGCAGGGAGAGGGTCCCAGTTCCATGCAGGTGACTTCCAGCCATCATCATTCCATGGTAACCATCCTGCTGGCCTGGGGGCTGCATGATGTCCCCTCAGCAGTCATGGACTGGAAAACCAGTTCCCTCAGATTCCTTGTGCCAAGGAAGGGCTCATTTGCATCCCAGAGTGTGAAAACCTTGTGGGAAAAGCAGTCACAAGTCAGGACAGATGGAGCACCCGGACAAGGAAGGGGACTGGGAGAATCACTCATGTGCCAGGGCCCACAGCAGGACCTGCTTACTTATGATGCTGGACTCCAAGCAGTCCCATGCATGGAAGCTACACTTGGCTAAGGAGCAGCACCATGGCAGTAGCATTGTTAGAACCTCTTGTGCTGCTCCCACTGCCATGCCAGGAGCCATGCAGTCTATCCACAGCCCCTACTCCAAGGAGTAGAGGGGTGAGTGTGGCTGGAAGGAAACCCAGAGAGGGACTGGCAGCCAGCTCCAGCAAGGATGGGGTGGTGCAACATGGGGGTCAGTGCCTGACCTTCCCAGCCCCACAGGTCATTCTGACCCCAAAGCAGAGCTTGGCCAGAGATAAGCAGGATGGCTGGCGGGATGCCGGCGGGTTCTGGGAACTGCCCCTCCTCCTGCCCCTCCTGCCCATAGCACAACCAGCTGCCACAGCAGGCAGCTCAACTTCAGCTGCCCTGGCACTTCAGGCACCCTTGCCACAGGCTTTAAAAACCAAGTCCCAGCTCAGCTCCAGACATTCACAACACCCCTGGCAGCACCATGAACCCAGGAGTTTTCCTCCTCCTGGGCCTTCTCATCCTCAGGGCAGAGCCGAGCATAACACCAGAGAAGGGCGGTGAGTACCAGGAGTCAACCCCGGCAGCTGCCAGGCACAGGCAGCCTGGGAGCAGCTCCCCGCATCCCGGCCCCCGTGTCCCTGCCGTGTCCCCTCTGTCCCTGCCCAGCATTTGCTGACAGGGACCGTGTCCCAGCTGGCTGCAGCACCTGCACCGCAGCCCTGCTGCCTGGGGGACCCTGTCCCCACCCCGGGGTGCAGGGACACCTGTGCATGCCCGCAGCCCCGGGGGCACCCCCTGCACCCCACAGGCACAGCAGCTCCCAGCGGTACCACGAGCAGCAGGGTCTGTGCTGTGTCCTGGGCACAGACCCTGCTGCCAGCCCCCGCCGTGGGACAATGCCTGGGGTGGTGGTGCCCAGCTGCGGCGTGGCTCTGCCCACACCGGGACCACAGCCGGTGCCTCTTTGTTTGAACCAAGCAGCTGCTGTTTGCAGTGAAACTCCGGCGGCGTCTGTTTGCAGCCCAAACACCCGGCACGGACAGGCGGCTGGCAGAGGCGGCTCCCTCCGCAGCCCCAGCTGGCAGCAGGAGCCGGGCACAGGCACCAGCTGGAGCTCGCCTGTACCAGAGGCAGGGCTGTCCCAGGTTTCCCAGCATGGCCAAGAGGAGCACAGGGTGCCAAGAGGAGGAGGAGAAGGAGAAGGAACAGGAGGAGACAGCTGCAGTGAGGAGTGTGCTGCTTGCCGTGAGGATGCCTGTAGCAGCAGATGCTCAGGACTAGGTCCTGACCTCCAGCTGGTGCTGGCTTCACCCCGACAGGGCCAGTGACACTCCTCGTGGCACTTGTGAGGGCACACACGGGACCGTGCCACACCGCACCGTGACATGCCATGCCGTGCTGTGCCACACTCTGCTGTGCCATGCAGGTCTTGGTGTGTCCAGCAGCCCCGGCCATGATGCAGAGAAGTCTCCAGCCCCTGGGCTGCAGTCCCTGCTCCGATTCCTTGGCCCCTGCAGAGAGACCCACATCCTACTACTTCCCCAGGGATGGAGGATAAGGGGCTCTGGCACTGTCCTGACATTGCCATCCCAACGCAGGGGACCTGCAGAAACCGGGGAGGTGTCCACGGGACTTCATGCGCTGCTTGCGCCTGGACTCCCCACTCTGTGCCAATGACTCCAGCTGTCCCGCTGGGCTCAAGTGCTGCCACTGGGAGTGCCGGCTCCGCTGCATCCCCCCGGCAGAAGGTACAGCACCGCGCTACAGCCGCTGACACCACCTCTGTCCCGGGGCAGCTGGCACCCTTCTCCTTGTCCCATTCCCTGTGCAATCCCCATTGCTACGGAGCAGCTCCCTGCTAGCAGCCTCCTGGCCGCCGCTGGGATATGTGGATGGGATGGCGCACAGCCAGGGCGAGCAGAGGGGCCTGGCAGGGGGAGGTTTCTTGGTGCTGCCCTAGGACACTGCCGTGCAGCCTCACCTCTCGGCCCCTCGGCGCTGCAGAGAAGCCCGGTGCCTGCCCAGCAGCAGCCCCGGAGAGGCTCATTGCCGCCTGCTCCTTCCCCTGCCTGGAGGACAAGGACTGCCTGGGAGCGCAGAAGTGCTGCCCGCTGGGCTGCGGCTCTGCCTGCTTGGAGCCGGCGCAGGGTAAGGACTCGGGGGGACGGCTGGGAGCCCTGGCTCACCCCAGGGACCCTGTGTGCCACAGTTGTCTCCCTGACGCCCTGGCCCCTGGGGCAGCACACGCAGCTTTCCCTGCACCGGCAGCTCCTGACAGCTGCCGGGAAGACCCAACGCCGGGACGTGGCCGCAGGCACCAGGAATGTGCGGGTCACGGCAGGAACCAGGGACCCCCGGGGCAGGTAGAGCGGCCAGTGGGGGATGCTGAATCGTCACACCCCTTCTGCCCTGCCAGACCAGCCCAAGCCCAGCGAGGGCCCCACGGTGCAGCCAGGACCATTCCGGGAGCGGTGCCGAGATGACGGCGACTTCCCCGACGCGCAGAAATGCTGCAACAGCAGCTGTGGCCAGCAGAGCCTGCCGGGAGCGCCGGCCGGTGAGGCAGGGTGGGACACGATGGGCACTGAGGGCGGGGACATGGCTCAGACACCGGGAATGATGCCTGAGGTAGCAGCCAGAGCTGGCACAGAGCTGTGGCACAAACGGGACCCCTCACCCCATGCTTGCCAGGGTGGGCTCTGCCGGGTCTGGGGTGGGGACACAGTGTTGGGCCTCTTCAGCCCAACATCCCGGTGGTGCACAGCCCCCAGGTGGGCACTGGAGCGGGGAGGGAAGGGGACAATGTGACCACCCTCATGCTGTCATCCTGCTCCACGGTGCAGAGGACACCAGCCCTGCCCCAGTCACTCAAAGGCCACTGCAGCACAAGTGGGGATGCCTCAAGGACCAGGACTGTCCCCCATTCCATGTGTGCTGCCACCAGCTGTGCACCAGGCACTGTGGGGCAAAGAGCCAAGGTGAGAGGGCTGGGAGCCACCCCAAAGGTTCGACAGCCCCACGTGCCCCGGTCCCCACGGCTGTGTCTCCAAGCAGCGGCACCGCAGCCACCCCACACCGTGCCTGCAGGGAAGGACAGATTCTGCCCAGCCCGTGCCGGGCTGTTCCCCAGTTACGACTGCAGAGCCTGGTGCCGGCACGATGGCGACTGTCCCCGAAAGGAGAAATGCTGCCTCCGTGGCTGCGATTATGTCTGCCTGCCCCCATCCCGAGGTGCCAGAAACGGGCAGGGGTGTCCCCCAGCTCCAGGGACTTTGAGACTGGGTGGGGAAGACCCGCTGTTGCTGCTCGCACTCCCAGCCCCGCTGCCTCCTTCCCCCAGAGAAACCAGGCATCTGCCCGCTGGCCGAGGAGGCTCCGCTGGCCCCGTGTGGCATCACCTGCACCGAGGACTGGCAGTGTCCGGGGGCTGAGAAGTGCTGCGGCAGCAGCAGATGTGGCTACGTGTGCTCAGCCCCCGAACCAGGTGAGGAGATGGTCGCTAGAACAGTGATCCTACCGGGAATGCTGTCAAAGCTCCTGGGCGCAGGATGTGGGACGGCGCTGCCACAGGGCAGGCACTCAGACCCCCGGGCACCCCGAGGCTGCAGGAAAGGAGGTGCCTGCAATACAGGGTAGTCCCTCCTCCTGCTGTCTCTTCCTGCCCTTCGCAGACAAACCCGGTGAGTGCCCAAAGGTGAGGCCACACCACTCATCGGAACCGTGCACGGAGATGGATTCCTGCAGCCACGACAGGGACTGCTCCCGGCAGGAGAAGTGCTGCTTCTCTGGCTGCGCCATGCGCTGCACCCGCCCTGCCCGAGGTGAGCAGCACGGCCACCAGCACAGGGAAGGGGTGTGAGAGCAGGGCTGGGACCTCCGCCCTCCCCCGGCTCCCCTCCTGTGGCAGAGCACCCCGGAGAGTGCCCCCGGGCAGAGCCGTGCTGGGACACGCGGCGCCGGCGAGGGAGCCAGTGCCTGGATGACAGCGTCTGCCGGCGACAGGAGAAGTGCTGTGACACCGGCTGTGGCTGGGAGTGCGTGGCCGTACCCAGAGGTAGAGGACACAGCCTGTTTGGGGGGAGCTGGCCCCAGCCCCTCAGGGGCAGCCAGGTGACAGCAATTTGGTGCCCCTGCAGCCAGCGGGGACAAAGCTGATGGCCAGTGTGTGGAGGAGTGCCAGACTGATTCGCATTGTCCCCGGGGACAGCGGTGCACCAGCATCAGCTGTGGCCACATCTGCATGGACATCCCTGGAGGTGAGAACCAGCCAGGCCCTCCGGGAGCCATGTGTGGCTGCCCTGGAGTGCTCCATGGTGAGGTGCCCCAGACCAGATGTCCCGCAGCTGGGTGATTACCTTGCAGGCAGAGTGGGAGTGTGCCCCATCCCCAGGGAGGGCGGCACGTGCTTGGACCTGTGCAACTTCGACGAGGAGTGTCCCTGGGGTCAAAAGTGCTGCAGTAATGGCTGTGGCCACGTCTGCATGCCAGCCTCTCTGCGAGGTCAGCCCCTCACACCCACCCAGCCCAGCAGGGACAGAGCCCAGGTTCTCTTGGTACCCACCCTGGGGCATCCTGGCCCTTCATCCCCAATGGGGACACCTCACCATGACCACACTGGAGCCCCGAGCTGGATCTGCCAAGGCAGCTGTACCTCTGGGGTTCACACACCCTCCACGGATATGATCTGCCCCATCCATCTTTCCATGCCTCCCCCTCTTTCTGTGCAAGTGGTGAGCACACACAGCCTCAGTTTAGTCACCAGGTGACCATCCTCCCCTGCCCACAGAGCATGACACTGTGGCTGTGCCCCGGCCCAGTGCTGAGCGGTGCTCGGAGGAGTGCGAGGCCAACTCACAGTGTCCCTGGGGACAGAGGTGCACCCGCACCTCCTGCGGCCGTGTCTGCGTGGACACTCCTGGAGGTGAGGCACAGGACAACCAGTGTTGCCCCAGGAGATGTGGGGTGTCTCAGGCAGGTGGTCCATGGCAGGGTGCTGTGCCCTGCAGGCAGAGGGGGAGCCTGCCCCATGCCTGGGGGCAGTGGGGGCTGCCTGGACCTGTGCAGCCTCGATGAGGAGTGTCCCTGGGGCCACAAGTGCTGCAGCAACGCCTGCGGCCACGTCTGCATGCGGGTGCCTGGTGGTAAGGAGGCCAATGGGCACCATAAGGGGGCCAGCACCAGGGCTAACACCAGGTCATGCAGGGTGCCAGCTGACCTGTATGAAGGGGACAGCCCTCGGCGTGCTCCCAGCATCGCTGTGAGGCCAGTTCCCACTGCTGCCCCATTGCTTTGCTCCCAGCAGATGCATTTGCAGGGTGAGGGGATCTGAAGTGATGCAGAGTGGGATGGAGCTCTCATGGAGCTGGCCAGCACAGCTGCAGTCATGGCCACTGGTCCCTCACTCCTGCAGTCTCGTTGTTCCCTAAAAGCACATCCTCCTTTTCAGATGCTGCGTGATGGGAGAGCAGCTCCTCTGCAGCAGGAAGATGCCTTCATTAGGGGACATGGGACAGTCACGAGCCCCACCTGGCCTGTCCCGTCCCCACCACTTCCAGCAATAAAGCATGTGCTTGACTGCCCCACGTGGTCCTGGAGTGGCCTTGAAATCACCTGAGGCCTCCAGGGCCAGGAGGTTCAGCCAGAGTTGGTGCCACAGGGCCAGTGAAGCAGTGCAGACTGGGACAGGCACCACCCCAGGCATCCATCGAGGCAGGAGCTGCTCCTCCATTCAGTGGCTTCAGCTCCTGGTCAGGTCATGTCGGCAGCTTGAAGGCAGGGTTGGGCTGGGAGCCCACCGGTGGCAATGGGAGCTGCAGGGTGGTGGCTGGGTGAGCCCTGCCATGCCATACTGCTGGAGGCACCCATAGCCCAGTCCCCATGAGGGAGGAGTGCCCAGAGAGATGGGCACTGTCTGCTCCTGCCAGCACAGGCAGGAAGGACCAGACCCAGACGTGCTCATCCAGGGACCCGTCCTTGTATTGTCACAGTCCAAGGGGAGGGACAGGCTCCTCCGGTCATGCACCACTCATAGGAGGGGGCATCCATGGGCACATGTCCCTGTCCTTAGGCCAGTGAGCATCCCAGCCAAGCCACAGCCCCCAGCATGGCCACCCTGGCTCACAGCCCTCATTGCCACCAGCCTCATGGTCTCCCTGTAGGGTCAGGGGTATGGCCACCAGCAGCAGCTTCCCCCAGGCAGGGCAGTGCAGATGCCACCACTTCCCAGGCCAGCACTACCAGGCACCTGGAACTGAGAGCTGGGGCATCAGGAGAGGGGCCAGGAGCAGCTTCCATCTGTGGCCCATGGCACATTGCTAGTTACTGATGTGGGAACAGGCCTGGAAACACTCGCCCATGGTCTCAAAGTTGTTCTTGTTGCCACCGCAGCCGCCGTAGATGAACTCCTCACACTGCTGGCTGGAGGCATTGAAGAAGAAGCGGCGGAAGAGTGCCTTGCAGTTCCCACAGACTGAGGGCAGGTAGCAGAAGTCTGCATGATCCAAAGGGGACAGGCTGAGCCAGGATGGCGGGGGGACACCACCATGCTCAGCACTCTCAGGTCCTCAGACAGCTCTGCACGGTTCTGGTTCCTTTTTACTGCCATACCTTTGTGCCAGCACAAAGCTCTGCACCCACCTGCCTCCAGCCCCACACACCAGCAGCTTCCCCACAGCACAGTGTGGTGACCCCTAGGGTCTGCAAGACCCATCAAGAGCTCAGAAGCACCCCAGGGACCTCCCTTCCCAGTTTGCTACCTCATGTCAGCCAACACCCCTCCTGTCACCCACCCCTGCGAAAGCCACGCTGCCACTTCAGAGCCCCACCACCACGGCACTGAGTCCTCACCCAGCACTGGCTCCTGGCATGTGTAGCCACACTTGCTGGGACAGCACTTGGTGACTCCGCGGCAGTCGGCATCGCTGGTGCAGTGCGAACAGGAGGCACCCCTGTGGCAGGAGCCACAGTCCTTGTCCAGCAGGTCCTCAACCTCTGGGATGTGGTAGCAATACCCAGGCTTTGCTGCAGGACACAGTGGCCGGGATGCTGGTGAGAGGCACAGAGCAGGGGCCACAGCAGCCCCCCAGTGCCCCGGGGTCAGACCCCAGGTTCCCACAGTCCCACACTTGTAGGCACCTGGCAGCATATGGACCAGTGGGAAACGCTGGGCAACAGAGGCACCCAGAGCATCCCTATTCCCAGGCCATGACCCGGCCACACTCACCCATCCCCAGCTCCTCTCGTCCAGTTGTGTGTGGGGCTGGGCTGGACCGCTTGGCAAGAGGGAGCAGGGCAGCAAGGAGGAGAAGACAGCCAGATGGCAGCTCCATGGTGCCCTGGATGGCTGGGTCTGGCCCTGGGTGTGGTGGGCTGGGATTTAAGGTGCGCAGGCGGGGCGGAGGGAGCAGGGCTGGTGCCTAAACCCAGCTAATTCCTGCCATGCAGGTAACAAGCCACACCCAGGCAGGGCCTGGTCTCCCTGGTGGCATCCTGGCCACAGCCCTCGAGCTGGGGGGACCGGTAGGACGGGACAGCTGTCCCGGCACAGCCCTTGGGGAGCCCAGCTGGGTGGCAGCAGCATGCCCAGGCTGGGCTGGGGACAGCACCAGTGACTGCCGCAGTCTCCTGGGGACAAGCCTGTGTTGGAGACAAAAATGGGAAGGTTGACACTGGCCTCTCAGTTGCTGGGGATCATGACAGTGCCAAGACAGGGCATGGAAAGCCACCAGCTCTGGCACAGCCATCAGCCAGAGAAGGGCTGAGGCACAGCACGCTGCAGCAGCGCTCTCTCTATGCTCCCTGTGGTGCAAGTGGTGGGGAAAGGCTGTGCCAGAGCTGTATCCCTTCATTGCTTTCTCCCATGTCTGACAGAGAGCATCCCGGGCAGGATGGGCCCACACAGGGCTGAGCCTGTGGGTACCACCTCGCTGCCTACCACTGTGGCTGTGGAAGGCAGGTCCTGCTGGATGTGATGCTCCCATCCATTCCCATCCTCTGACCCTTTGCCGCCTCCTTCACCACCCTCTCTCGGTTTGGGGCCTTTCACCCACCCCCTCCCGCGGAACGCCGGTGCGGAGCCGTGTCCTGTGCCCTCCAGCAGCCCCCTGCTCCTGGCAGCAGGTGAGAGTCCAGCGGCTGCACCGTGCCTGGGTGGCCCCTGGGGCTGGGACACGGCTCGCAGTCGGCTCAGCTTCCAGGCGAGGGGCCCCGGGCGCTGGGCTGGGAGGAACCCGCCGGTACCCGTGGGCGGGCGTGGGGTGAAACCTGCCAAAGGAGGGAGAAACAGATTAAGATGTTCCCATTCAGCAAGAATAATTGTCTTTCTAATTACTGCCGTAATTACTGTCCCAAGGGGGAAGCGGAGGGCGATGAAAGCTCCGTGGGGAGGGGCCAGGAAAGTCTAATTTGGGTAGGGTTTGGAGGGCGGTGTCACCCGCGCCCCCCGCCCGTGCCCCACCGCAGCTTTTCCTGCCTCTCGTCGCCAGCCCCAGGATGAGGTCCTGGCGGTGTCCCCGGCACTGGACACGGTGACGTGGCCGGTCCTGAGCAGGGGTGGGAGCAAATCCGGAGGGACGTGCCGGAGGCGGTGGGGGCAGGGTGGGCAGTGGGAAAGCCACAGCCACAGCGCCAAAATCCACCGGGGCTGAATTTATCCTGCTGTCTCCCCGGGGAATCGCAGCGGCTGGGTGGTCACTGGCCGGACTGATGGCGTCTGCCGGAGCGGCCCCGCCAGTCCGTGCGCCGGCAGCAACACCATGGCCAGGGTGGGACAACACCGCGATGGATGCAGGGACGGCCCAGAGATGGTGGGGGGGGATTCTCCCAGGTAGATGTTGAGGTTTCACATGACAGCGAACCACTCGCAGGGGAGGACCTGAGTCGTACCCCCTTGTCCTGCCCTACAGCAGGGACCCGCAGGGTGAGCAATGGGTGTAGCCGTCAGGGCAGAGCCACCAGCCAGACCTCCTCTATGGGAAAGCAGTGACTGGGGTACCAGGGAACACCCAGGAATGCGGCACCTCCCAGGAATGCGGCACCCAGCAGGACAGAGCGAGGCGGCGCTGTGCCGCCGGGGTGATGCTCCCGGCCAGGGCGCACGGCAGGAACGGTGCCGAGGGCAGAGCGCAGGGGGTGCGGGCTGCACACACACGTGTCCACACCCTCTCCCACGTGTGCACACACACGTGCGTGACTCCTCCTGCCTCTCCCAGGGACAGGCACTCCCGGAAGGGACTGTCAGGGAAAGCCCCGGCAGCTCCGGTGCCGTCCTTGCCACGCTTTGCAGCGTCCAGTGCCAATCCCAGGGAAGGGGCAGGGGAGCTTGAGCACCGTGTGACGGGAATCTGAGCACCCACTCTGCCTCCGGCAAGGACACGGGACGCGTTTCTCCAGCCCTGCAGTCCCGGCGCCCACGCAGAGCTCCCACCCCGTCCCCAGCAGCAGGACTCCGTGGCCCTGAACCTCTCCTGGTCTCCAGGTGTTGGGCCCGCTGGGCAGAGGCCGGCCAAGAGATGCAGGGCTGAGGGGCCGGTGGCAGCGTGGAGCTGTGGACCGTGTCCGGTCACAGGACGTCCCTCGGGAACCAGCGATTGTTCCCAGAGGCAGAACAATGCCCGGAGAGCTGCCAGGGCACCACGGGCTGCTCCACAGCGCCCGGCCCGGGGAGCCTCCTCCGCTGTTTCACCAGGCCAGCCCCAAGCGGGGTCCCCCGGCCCTTTGCTGCTGCCTGCCCCGTACCTGTCTCCTGCAGCGGGAAGTTGCACTGGCTGCTCTTGTCTGGCGGCACAGCGCGGCTCTCTTGAGGCTGCACGGAGCCCAGCACCAAGCAGCAGCACCTTCCTGCCTCCCCCGAGGCTTGTCCAGCAGCAGCTGCCTGCGGGAGGGACGGGACGGGAGGGTTCACGCTCGGATGGAGCGTGTCAGGTGCTGGGGCACGGGCCAGGTCATGGGCACCAACCTTCTGCCCCAGGAGGATTTAAACCCCTGCCTGTGCCCGGAGAGGCAGCCCCCACGCTGCCCATCCATGCCATGCGGCTGCTGTCGCTGCTCCTGCTCCTGGGGCTCTGCTGCCTCTGGGCCCGGCTGGTCTCCCCAGGTGAGTGTGGGTGGGCACGGGTGGGCACGGGTGGATGTGGGAGCCAGTGGAACAGTGCTGCAGGAGGATATGCGGCCATGAGCACGGAGACCACTGTGACCGTGGCTGGGAGTGCAGCATCCCACCTGTGCTGCGTCCCCTACATCTCTGCATGCTGCAGAAATGACCACCAACCCCCCACAGCTCCCTGGGAGAGCTGTCTGGGGTCTCTGGAACCCTCACCCCCAGGGTCCCACTGTGGGGCAGACAGATGTGCCCAGTCATGGTACAGGGTGAGGGCCTGAGCATGGATTCCTGTCTTTCCCAGAATTCACCTAGCCCCCACATGGACCTGGACCAAGGACCCAGTCTGTGCAGCCAACCCTCACCAGACGGCCAGACAACAGCTGGACAGCTGGACAGCCAGCCATGGAGGGCTCCATCAGCTGCT